CGCAATGTTAATTAGGCAGATTACCTTGAAAAACATTGCTGCCGTATTTCTGATATAGTTTTTTGCAAATTTCTCAGTTTTTAATAACAATTAATCTCTTTTACTATTTTTTCTGTACTCTTATAACAACGCCAGACAACACCTCCAGAGGAATGACGCCAATTCTGAATCACCCTGTATAAGGATGAATATACATTATTTATGGACTTGAGGGGAAGTTACATGTAGGTACATTTTTTTCTAAAAAGTTATCTTTATAAAAGAGTATCTCGATCCATGTTGTATTTTTTTCGGCACAAGGAGACATAAATTGTTTTCAAATACTTTACTTACTTTTCGCTGTTTGCCTGTTCGCTGCTAACCACAATTTCATTACTTTTTAGTCAGAAATCCCACAAAACGTTTAGTTTTTATAACTTTTAATACCACTTTGACATTTGTCACTTCAACTAAATCAATCGGGGATCGACATTTACTACCCTTGATTCCATTACAACGTGAAATTAGCGCTTTTAAAACTACCCAGTTCCGTTTCTTCTTCTCTTCTATTAATGCCGTTTTTGCCCCATGTGGATGCGTGAAATAATTGAGATAAAACTTAATAAATAATCGAATAATAATAATGCAGGAAAATTTAGGCAATGTTGCAAAATGATAAAAAAATAGTTTATGGGCATCAAAAAAATTATAAAAACCAATAAAAACAAAACACTTGATCGTCATCGGGTATCGTCCATATCGGACCACAATGAAATACTAATAAACAATATCGGTGAAAAAGTTCGAGGGCCTGGGCAACTTCCCTTCATTCACAAGAAATTTGATGATTGAGTAGTATACAGGATGTTTCAAATTCTTAAGTATTTTCTTCTGTATTAAATTTTAACAAAAGAAGTTCACTTAGGTTTTTTGATTTACTATTTTAAATCTGTTTGTAGCTTTTTTAACAATATTTGGCAAACGCATCATTAAGACATTTTATGTAGAGAGAAAATTGAATTCGGTTAATAATTGCGTGCGTTCTGCCAATTAAATGGGCAAAAACTTGACCGCCACTGTTTTTTGAACTCAATACTTTGATTTTTTTTTAATGTCCGATTAGTGTATTAACACCTATTCAAGCTCTATCAAAAAATGCGTCGTTCTACAAAAATTAAAACAACTTCTTTTACCACATTTCATAGACATTTATACATTTTTTTTTTTGGTCGAAATGTCGAGAAGTTTGTCGAAGTTATTGATGGTAAACCTTTGAAACCCCCTTCGTAATGTTTTGTGAATTAAATTTTGTTTTTGATGATATTGAAATGAATGTAATTCTCGAAAGTGACGAATTATTCGATAATTCTTTAAGACACGTGTATTCACTATCCGATTAGTGTACGAAAGTCTCTATCGAAAAATGAGCCGTTCTAAAAACAATAAAACGTACTACATTTGCCTGTTCCATACAGTTTTTACTTAGTTTTGATATTCGTTAAAGTCGAAAAGTGTAACGAAGTTGTTGACGGTATTTTTGAACCAAATCTTTGAAAACTTTCGTGGTATGTTTTGCTTTGTGAATAAATTGTCGTTTTTGTAGTTGTTGATTTTATTTTATTTGATTTCTCGAGAACGACGCATTTTTTCATAATTATTTAAGACATATTTATTTTAGTGCAACAACCGAGAATTTACAGTATGGAAAACGGTGACGTCCATTTTATGCGCTTTATGTATGCCGCTGTTAACACAATTTATTATGCTGTTTTAGCAAAGAAAACAAATATAAATATTTTTAGTTAACTTTTCACGCCCTGAAATCCCTTTCCGAAGTTACGATTCCTATACGAACCTACGTTTATACGACTTTTAACGCACACAATTTAATTTGGAACAGCATATTGCAGTTGTAGTCGGAAATATGCTTTATGCACTTAAACTATAAGAATATAAAAACATTTCCGTAATATTTACGGCGGAAGTAAAAACAAAAAATCTATTAAAACAAACTAGCAGAATATTCATAAGAAATTGGATGAAAATTTATCTACTGAATGCAACACGTTAATGTCCAGTCCCTTTTTAGTACACCGATACAATGATAGAAAGTAAGTTTCAAAAGTAATAATGAAGCCATTTTCTGCTGAGTTATGTTACTTTATATTATTATCCTTATTAAAAACGAAATATATAGTTCACAATAAAACGACCATAAATTCATCAATTTGCATTCCTCTATCAGTTTGTGGGTTGTCTAATTTTCCGGTACATTACTACATGTCAGTTTACGTCGCTGATACCGAAACTATTCGAGCTTTGAGCATTGTGCCGTCCATCACCAGACTCAAAGTAATCGAGGACATTTTAAAAACACGACGGACTTCTTGAAACCGTCGCGACATTCCTCGACAAGTTGCGATTAGATATGGCGCAGACCTTGTCCAAACCCTGTAGCTCATTCGTCCAAAACTGGTTATATTTATTCGTTTTTTTCCTTCTTGTATTGTTGCACGGTCCGATTTGGCTATTTATGGAAGTTCTCGCTTTCTTACTCCACAACGCTTATAATTTATTAAAAAGTTTATGTGTTCTCTTTCAATAAAAGAAACACTTTATACAATCATACACACTTCTAGCTTATTTGGACATGGAATTTGCCGACAATTCTTCTCAGATAAAACGGTGCTTCTCAATTACCGCATGTGAAACTCGTCTGATCTTAACGAATAAAATCGAAAAGCACACACAAAATCAATAACAAATGTTGATCCCATAAAACCAAAGTAGACTAAGTAGGTAAYGAATAAATATAAATCAGAGAGAAAAAGTGTCATCAYTAAAAATCCAAGGCAATTATCCACGAAATCCAAACGAATAATTCCCACAATTAAATCAGCTTGTTATGAGAACCGTTGGACAATTTACGAAAGTACAAAACCACTTGAGACTGTTGATAGGCGTGGAATGTGAAGTATTCGAATACCATGAGAAAACGTTGAGATTGTGTGCAGCTCAAGATTCAATTTAAATCAATTCACTTACCTTATAATGTCGTGGATTCGGCAGGGTGGAATTGGACAGTCCAAGTTTTTCAGCACCGTGGCTAAACAGTTCATGAGGCTCAAACTTAGATCATCCGATGGTAGGTTTTCTTCGAAATCGTCTAATGTCTGGAACAAAGAGTTTATTACAATTTTTTACTATGAATTGCATAATGGTTTATTACACTTTGAATGAATTTTTGATAAGTTTATTTAATTGTTACTGTACACGATTCAGCGTCTCTTCAACATTTTTTTAATTGCTGAAATCTAGATAGAATAACAACATTTAACAAAGTAAAAAATAAAATGTATATCAACGGCAAACAATCTGTATGAGGGGCCAGTTCTCAGTCTGATCGACTCACTTTTCCAGTTTTTTGTACTTTGCCTTTCATACGCGCGATTGAGTTCCTGATTCAGCCCCAAAATGCAAGTAACGATGACGAGTGAAGGGCGATCGAAAAGGGTGAACACCGATGTATGCAGACATTCATTTCGAATAGTGTTTTTACAGTTGGATGAGTTTACGTTTTGAATCATAGCGACTTGAGAAAATAGGGGATTTACTAATATAAGCAAATGGACTTTAAAGAAAATGAATGGAATCGTGGATGGGACTCTTTATGGTTAATATCTGCCAGAATAATCGAAGGGCTCTGACGAGGAGTTTTCGAACAGTGTCGACACTTTTTGCAAAGCAACTTATTCCAAGTAGTTCGTATAAAACATATAAAAAAATATTTCAACTCCAGAACAGCTTTTCTCTTAAAGTTAGTTACGTATACATATTACATACTAACATTAATGTCAGTCATACATTAACTTACTTGAAGGCGTTTATTCAGCAAATCAATSAGGGGCATTAGTTTGCTGGTCATTATCACGTATTTACAATTGGCGGATGCTTCTACTCCGCTGCAGGCAAGAGTCCATAGGTGGCAACAAATTATCAGGGTTCTAGGACAAAAATCACATATTCCACCTGTTCATGTACGAGTATAAGATTGATATTCAGTTATGGTACGATTGTGTAGATATATCAAGTTTAGATGGAAATGAAGGTCCATTAGTTAATGTTCATGCAGGACACCTTGCAGCAGCAGTTGAAAAAGAAAACGCTTATGTATTTAAAACAGTTGCGACAACATCCGCATTTCAAACTTAATCTGCTGTCGAAATTGCAAGTTTAGAAAAATAGATGTAGATTTCAAGACCTCTTTTTATATGCCTATTCTCAAGCGTTCTTATAAAAACTGCAGAAAATTAATTACGAAAATGTAAAGAATGAAAAGAAGTAGAACGATTTGAACAATATAAAACTGGGGTCCGGTTGGCTCCAAATAATTCCAGTATAGATGATTCAGATAATATTCTATAAAGCATAATACACAAAAAAAAAACAATTTTGGATTGGAGAATACAAAAGATTCAGATAGTAATGTTACTTTCACCAAACCATTAAATGAATACCTCGTCGAGCTTGTAATGGATATTGAGGGATACCGGAATCCTCAACTCTGACTAAATGTATCAAACACATAATTATTATTGATAATCGAATGCGTTTATGGTAATCATATGATGGTTAATCGCGCTGTCGGTCGGTGCATACGAGTTTTAGTGAAACGTACATATTTTCCACATGACTCGATAATAAAACACCAAAAATCCATACTAAATAGCTGAACAAAGATTGATAAAATCTAAAACTTCTAAAAACGGTAAAAAACTGATATTTACTTAGAGGGAATCACTTGGTGTTCTTCTAAACCCAAACTAAGCAACTTTCCTAAGACCGTAAAACTGCCAACGGTTTGGAACAGCAGAACGTCATTTCGGTTCTGTTTGGACATCATTCTAGACAATTCGTTTAATGTTCTGTCCAGCTGACTCAGGCTGGCATTGGACAATCCTGAAATAAAGGCGCAGATTGATGCAAAAGATGTGAGATTGTTAGTAAATATTTAGATTGAATTGTCAAAAGTCAATTATTCTTTAGAGCTATTTTCCTTACCTTGATTGGCTTGATTTATAATACTGCCGATAATATTTATATTTCTGTTTAAGGTTCGCTTATTGACGCTCTCAACCACCACCGTCGATTGAGATATCTCGCATTCGATGCCTAAAAAAAACGAAAAAACCGTAATTAAACACCGCTAAGAATTTAACTTCAGTGTAAAAACTACTAATTGTAAAAGGAAAGTTAGGCATAAAATAATTTACTAACATAAAACATAAACATAAAATATAACTTACATTTACATACGTGATTATTGTTGAATATAATACAACAGCAATGTAAGCGCAATATACTTAAAGGTAAAAAGGTAAAAAGCTAAAAATAACAAAGAGGTAATGAAAATGTGTACCTTTCATTGTCATTCTTTGCCTAATCTTCTTACACCGCCGCCTGTACGATTTTCCTCTTTCTTTGGCCGCTAAAACACGAGGATCTTCTTTTCCATCAGGGGCGTCAACAATTTGCTTCAAGTTGTACTGTTCCAGCTCACTCGAAGATAATCCTGCAACAGAAAATAGTTAGTTAAACTTTAATGTTACTATTTGACATGATTGGTCGCATAAATTATAAAATTAAGGCGTCTACACCAGGTCTAATCAAGGACGATATGACGTATTTTACATCTTACAAAACACTAATTATTTAAGCGTGAGATAAATAAAATTTACCTGGATTTGCTTGTTTTACTGCTTCCTGGTGGAGCCGCCCCCGCAGGTGACTCATTAAATAAACTTCTGATTTGATCTGAAAAAATAAAACATGAATTAAATGCATTTTAAATACACATTTTTGTGCAAAATTGCACAAATTGACATTTTTAACTGTTTAGTTTTCAACATCAACAAACTAGAACGATATTAATTTGGCACAGTTTTTTCCTACAAAATATACAATTGGTTTTGGTTTTAAGCAAAATAATTGGAACTTCAAAAAATCAATGTTGACGAAACAGAATACACGCAGCGTATTGCTTTATTATGTAAAAATTCACATCGCATTTTTTCTGTATATCATAAAAACAAATTTCAATAAAAAAAAAGCAGCTAAGCGAATAAACACCATGTAAAGCACAAGTAAATGATGAGTTCAGAATGCAGAGTGAGAGAAGCGCAAAATTAGTAATAACGAGAAATTGTTGTAAATGTGAAGCACTTGAGCATGTTTAATAAGTGATTTAATATATATAGATAATACAATAAGGGATAATAAAGTCATTGAAGCAACAGTTTAATGTATGCGAAACTAAACCAAACAGAAGTTTAACATACACTTAAAAACTTTGTAAAAATATTTGTAAAAAGAGTAATTCGGCAGAAAAAACCGTACAAAGTGACCCGCCCGATTGGTGGATTTGCCGATAGATACTTCTTTTTTCTTTCCTATCTTTTCGATACATTTTTTTCAGCCCCTTCAACATGCATTTTGCAACATTTAATGCACGAAACAGTGCGGTTTTCGGAGTACCTTGTTTTTCTACTTTTATTTTATTTTTGCTCATCTACTAACCTATCCAAGATATAAAAACAAGGTCGTGTGTATACACGACTATTTTGCTATAAAAGTATTTTTATAAAAGCGTATCCTATTTCGCAAGAAAATCCAAATTACCCTACGATTGCAATTGGGGCGAATGAGAGGGAAATCTGCGCCACAGAAGAAGCAATTTAATATGTATATTTTGTGATTAGCGAGTTCCTYGTGAAGCGCATTTTTATCCGAGAAACACCTTTTATAGAACAAGACAAACCAGGGCTTAGTATAGAGAAGATCCGACTTTTCAAACATAACGCAAGMGATAGCAAMTTCTAYGTTTGATCCAATTGAATTCTTACCTAGAACCACCCCACAGGCGCAACAAACAGAAAAATTATTGCAATAATTCACGTATGAGTAAATCAGCTCCAGTTAAAACAGCCTCACTCCGTCTTCACAACACAGAGTGAGTTGAAGCATCTTTTTGGAAAGTTAGTACAAACAGATATTACTTACGAGCACATTGCACACTGTACACAACTTGGCCTGAGGATACGGTACCATATTAGGTGCCTGATCATCGTCCTGATGACAACGCAAAATACTCAATTCCAGCGCCTTTTGCCTGATTTGCTCAATATTCTCTTCGTGGCGACGCTTCGAGTCTTCCTGCTTCTGTTCGATGCGCTTCTGCAGCTCTTGCGTGGACGCTAATTGCTTCTCATGTAGCGCAGACAAACGTTCCTATAAAACGTTTATCATTTATCTTCAATAAATCATATTTTTGCTACAAAAGATACCTCTCTGTCGCGTGCCTTTTCCCTAGCTAGTTCTTGCCTCTCCCGTTCACGTTGTTGTTGCTGCTGGCCTGCAAAGGACAAAATAATAAAGTAGTTTTGTTCAAGCTTTCCACCTTAATGTATCAGAACAGTCGTCATTTCCTGTAGATAGTCAGTATATTACCAATTCTTTCATCCCGTTGCCGCCTTTCATCTTGCAACCGATCTAGTCTTTCAAGCCGCTCACGCTCCAAAGCTTTGCGTCGCTCTTCCACTGCGGCTTCTTTAGCCGCTTTTTCCTCCTGCCTCTTTCGGCGGTCTTCCTGAATGCCCTGAATCCGACCTCGGCGTTCTTTGCATGATTGCAAAAAGTCATGTCTAGAAAGAAAGCTCACTGATAATGAATTTATACAAACCAGTATAGGTTATTATATGAAAACACAAATACACCAATGCAGTATATAATTGAATAAATTTAACCTTTTATTTTGGGCCTCCAATTCGTTGATAAAAGCGATTTCCTTCAGTTTTTCCTCTTCGTCGTGAGCTTTCTTTACAATCCCTCTAATATGGCGTTTTCGATTTTGAGCAGCTTTCTGCAATCTGAGACAAGGAAATTAACAATAACTAATTTGTGTGTAACAAAAAAATTCAATTCACCTTCATATTTAGGATAGTCAAGATTTTTTGAGATCATATAAATCGACAAATATTACTATTCATAATGCTACTGTTTACCTTAATTCCATTCGTGTTCTCTTCTCCTCAATCAGCATTATTTTAGCCGCTTTAACATCGTCAACTCTGGCCGATAAGGCTTGTAATTTCTGCGCTCTTTCCAGCTGCAAATTTTCACGTCGCTTCTGAGCCTTGGCTTGTTTTACTTGATATCTTCAAATTAAAATTCAAGTCAACAACGCGTCATGCGGAAAAAGCGCAATTTTACCTTCTCACCGCTTCTGCTAAGCTAATTTTTCTTTGCGGGTTGGAAAGTTTTTGATGTAGCTCTAGAGCTCTTCCCGGGTGTCGGGCATTGATAGCTTCTAAAGCCGCAAGAGTGTCCACTCTTTCACTCCAAGACATTTCTGAAAATTTTATTGCCAAGTTTGTCGACAGTTCAAAAATTAATAAAATCAAGTTTGCATACCTGCTAACATTGGTTCGTATCTCGCCTCCAACGAGATGTGATCGTCACTAAGCATGTTAATAGGGCTATCTTCATCGGCATCGCCCTGTAATTCGTCACCGTCCGTTTCGGTACCATCAGTTTCGGTATCAACTTCGATATCCAAATACTGAAAAACATAAACTTTAAATAACTCTGACCTGACAAAAGGCACACAACCGCACTTTTAACTTTTCGATTTCCTTGTGCAGTCGGTCCTCTTCTTCATTGAGTTCTTTAGTTTTCTTCCTGTGTTCCTCCTCGGTGGCCAATTCGTCTTGTATTTCTTTCAATTTCGATTGCTCATCATCGGTCTCAGAATCGGCGTCTGCTTCCTGTGCAGAACACTGTGTATTAATGAGTTGTATTTTATAAAAAATAAACAGAGATATTGCTTGAAGAATTTGAAGGAGACTAGTTGCATAAAGATGAATTATGCAAGAATAATCAATGGTCAAAAGCTGCACTTACCTTATTAGTTCTCAGCTCAATTTCGTCCCTTTCTACGTTTTTCTTAATATTTAAGTTCGCCTCGTTCTTCCCCTGCATGGAACTCTTGCCGGTGTTAGAATCCGAGCGCTTCGACGGGGAAGAATCAACACTTTCCCATTCGACCGAGCTTTTAAAACTTTTCAAACTGTTCAAATTCTCTTTTACGCTTTTATCAATCGTTTTCTGACCCTTAGATACTTCTGAAGTTTCCAGAAGAGCTAGCGCTGGTAAGCTGGCTGTTGCACTAACCTGGTGGAATCTGGTTGTCCAAGAAAGACCCGTATCTGACCTAAAAAATTCAAATTTATTTTGAATATATCAGACCAGTGAAAAAACTTTGATACTAATCAAGAACTGAGAACATTTAAATACTAAAAAAAATAATTATGAAAATAGTGGTAAAAATAAATCGACAACAGTATGTTCAAATGTATCAAATTCCCTAAAAAATTGCTCAACTGGAATATTTGCTACTCTTTAAAAAAACTGAAAGAATACGAACCTTCGAGATCTGTGATTCCCATTTTTAAATCTGCGACCTTTCACCGTCAACCAGCCGTCCAAATAATCGCTCACCGAGGTTTCAATATTTCCAGTGCCTACTGAACTATCAATGCTATTGCTTGAATTTGTGATATCGTTCAAATTCTCCCTCGATTTATCATGGGGCACCAAAGTCTCAGCCGAGCTGCCATGCTCGTCCAGTGACAAACTTTTACTTAAATGCTCTTTTGTCAGTGTAGTTTTGCTTTTCTGCATTAAAGCAAAAGGTCTGATTGGTGTTGAATTCTCAAGTGACGATTTTTGCGTGATGGTTTGGTTAGTAGGAGCCCGTTTCTCGCTGTTTCCAGGTTTGAAACGTTTCATATCATTTACCTAAAAATGCCGTGAAGCCTCGTGAAGTTACTGAATAATATTTACGGATAAAAAAAACGTACAAATAACTGGGAAAATGTGTATTGCTGAAGAACTGTATTTAATCATTGAGTGATGGTTAGCCATAGACAGATTATGGCTTTTTGGAAGAACCTCAAATAACTAGATGTGCACAGAAAAAATAGTGAGGTTCTAAATGCCACTTTGCTGCAGTGTGCCTCTCATAGAAATACAGAGTGATCGAGTTTCCAAAGTGGAAACTTTGAAGAACGATAGTGAATCGGAAAACAACATGGGTTTGCATTATAATTTGCTATATTCGAAAAACACTTACTTAAGGAAATAACTGACAATGAGAATTAATTATATATTTTTCTTTATAAACATCCATTAACCTGTTAGTACGGACGGACGCAACTGACAAAACAGAAATTTTGTTTCTATTCCAAAATGTTCTTCCTCGTTATTGCCTGCTTTCGTTTAATTAAATATCCACTGCCGTTTGGCAACAATTAATAAATTTGATTTTTTAAGCCACACTTTGTATTTCCTTAAGGATGCGTTTCTCGAATACAGATTATAATACAAACTTATATTGTTTCTCGATTCTCTATCGCTCCCTGGAGTTTCCGCTCTGGAAACTGAACTTCCCTGTATAATAATTAATGTAGTGGTTTGTCATTTTTTTTTACTATTCACTTTTTTTTTTCTTTTAGAGCCCTGAAGATAGCTTAAATATATCCAAAACGCTGACCCAAGAATGTTTTCACACTATTCATTGACCGATAAACCCAAGAACCTAAATAGGCACCCTTTACCAATAAAAAATAATATAAAACCGGAAAATCAAGCGAGCACGCACTGTCTTATTGGCTTAAATAGTGCATTTTCTTGTCGTCTGATCCCAGTCAATTTGTAAGACACGTTTAATTTTAAGGCGGAATTTTATGTTTTAACTTACAGTTTGACTTCTAGTTAAACTGCCTTTCCCTCTTGTTCCAATGTTTGCTTGGCTTCTTCCCGCTGCAGCTGCGCCACTTTTGGGCTCATACTTAGTTCTAGGAGGCACGATTTTAGCTGAGGCACTTTTAGTAAGAGCGGTAGCATACGCAGGCCTGTAAAACAACAATTATGATCAATAGCATGTTGACAAAATTAAGTATAAACCCAAGTCTTGCCTAGTAGTAACAGCTGGCTTAACCGGCGAATGTTTGCTCTCACTTGTTGTATTCGATTTGTTTAAAGAGTGAAGTCTGGAGTTGTTAGAATCAACTTTTGCAGCTTTGACTCCCGGACCTGGCGGAAATTTCCTTTCAAACTCGAACGTGTCACCATCGGTTTGGCATTCTTGATTGATTTTGATGACATTAGGCCGTTTTAAACGCAATCTAGAACAAAAACGAACCCGTAAAATCTCAGTGGTTGTAATTGAATTTAAGTGTACTTTACCTAGGGATGTCATCAGTGCTAGTGCCTTTTTCAGCACTTTCGACTCCCACCTTTCTGAAAATATCGTAAGTTCGCTGATCTTCACTAGGAGAATCTACATTTTTGATGGTGCAATTGGAGAAGAAATTGGCAACGTTTTCCGTCAAGTCCAGGGGCTCAAGCTCCTTCTTTTTGTCAGATGTTGATATAGTTTTTTCAGTAGAGGTTTCAAGAACATTGACGCTTTTGGAGATTAGAGGAACAGATTGAGATTCTAAGGCATAATAATTATTCGTTAACTATCAACAGCTAAATTTAATGCAATGATGCTATTTAACACCAACCTTCAGATACCGCTTTTTTAACATCGGATTGTTTCTTGCCATCTACAGACCTTCGCTTCAGTATAGTAATACTCGAAGGATTACTATCTTCGGTTGAAGGTTTGGAAGCATTTGGCTCCCCATTTGCGCCCAAGAGACTTTTTTCGTCTTTAACCGTTTGCAAATCTTCATTTTTCTTCACTGTCTTAATGTCAGAGCGTTTCTTGCACTCCGGCTTTTGCTTTAGGTGAGGAGCAACTGAAGGCTTACCATCTGCGGTTGAAGGTTTTACACTTTCCTCAGCACCTGCTTCTGATAAAGAGTTTTCGTCTTTAACCGTTTTTAACTCTTCCTCACTTTTCTTTAATGTATGCTTTGCCTTGGGGCCACTGTCGGAGGATTTGCTCTTAGAAATTACAGGTTTATCCTTTTTGCCGATATTTTTTGAATCGCCTAAAAATCGCATGTTCAGTTGCGTCTGATATTTCCCGATACAATTATATATTTACCTTTAGATGAGCTGCGATTAGCTGCAGGTCCTGTTTTCCCTTTTCCTTCAAGTTTCAGATCAGCTTTCTTTTTTAGATTAGTATCAACCTTAGGCTGTGTTTTAGACGGCGTTTTCAGAACTTCTTCCTGAACCTTGCTGATCGGTTTTTGCTCCCCTTTACCAATTTTCCGGGAAATTTCTTCACCTTTCTGAGTATCTTCCGCGGCCTTGCCAAGGATATCAACCGATTTCCCTTCAGGAATTGTTTTATCAATAGAAGGCAATGGACTGGACGGACAAGACGTGCATGTGCAACTTTTGCCTATAATTAATACATGACAAATAGCAAAAATATTCAAAAAGAAAATTGTAGTCAGACAGTGTAAGATCATTTGAATCTTAACTTTAAGATATTTTGAATGATGAAAGAAGATTAACATACAAAAATTGGAAATGTCCTTAATAAATGTTTCGACACTGAACTCTAAATTATCTAAACTGCACTTGGAAATACAGGGTTGCATAAAAAGGAATTTTTATTCTGAAGTCGACTACGAAGTTTATCTGCAACATGAGCGCTAGATTTTCCAAATCGGTTCAAGAAAAAAAATATCACTACCAACCAAGTTGAATTTTTCGAGCCCACACTGTAAATAAACGAGATGGAAGAAAAATTCGATACTTTTTCGAGACTCCGAGGTTTCTCTTAATACATATGTGGCATTAAAATACAAAAAACTTTTTTTGTCCAGCTTAGACCATGTGGAACTTTCAGTAATTTTGTATTGATTCATTTGCCTCCCAATAGAAACTTTATGTGAAGCACTAATTTAGTGTACAAAGGGCACTAATTGAGGCACTAATTGAAAAAAGAATTGCACTAAATGAGGTTTCAAACAGAAATCAAATCGCTCACAGTAGTCAGAGTTCATCCAGTTACAAAGACACGTTACTTAGTCTAAATTGTCGGTGTAACGTTGGTTTTGATGAGCAGTTTATTTTCTAATACATCGAAGTACACTATACTATACACCAATTCAATTTAAAAATCCTGTATTACCATTCATGTAAGTATGTCTACTTACACTTATTTGCTGGTAAACTACGAGGACTAATCTTCCCAGAGAGTAGAGGATTGGGGCTATTTCGTCCACTACCCAAACTGGGACTGGATTTGCCTGACCTACTAGGCTTAGACAAATTGGTTTTCGAAATACCCCAAGCTAAAAACATCAAGTTACATAAAGACAAGCGAATCGAAGGCCGATTGACTCAGACCTAGTGAGGTGGGCCTCTGCGGAACTGGTGTATTTTCATAGTTCCATTTCAACTTAAACCAGTCAGCCAAAGCGGAGAAATCTCTCAGGTAGTTTTCCAAAACTAAAACGACTTCTTGGCATTCAGTAAGACTTTCATGCGTTTCCACTGTATTATAAATTTCAGCAATCTGCAAATGCAGCTTAGCTCAGTTACCAACGCAAGTAACAGAGAAACATTACTTACGGATCTCTGTAAGTTACCGAACAATAAAGCCCAATACCTGGCAATTAGTTCAGAGTTTTTGTCTCTGCCTGTAGATGCTGAACGCAACCGTGCCCCCGATCGGCCCCGCATTACTGTTGACTTGCTGGATGGGAGGATTTCAGGCACTCTTGGAGAACTCGGAGGTTTTTTCGCGATTTTTCCTGTATTGTACAAGACAATTAACCTGAGTTGCCTTGGGTATAATTCACTAATGACAACGATGTTGTATATTGAAATATAAAGAGTTCTCAGTACCAGCTAAGTAACAATGTTGGATAGAATAGCTATAAAATACAACTAATGCAGCTTACATTAAATAAACTGGCTTAGTTGAACCTTCCTGCCCACGCAGGTGTATGCCTATTAACATTGCCTACCATAGAAGGAATATCGATTTGCATAAATAAACATAACAGAATAAAACGAAACAATTTGTGCAAAGTATGTTCCAGAATTGCTCACCAGGAAAGTCGTTACCAGCGGATATATTAAAAGCAAGCAGATTTCTAGCCTCTCGACCTTGTTCTTGGACCAAAAGGCGCACTTGTTCCATTTTTCGTAAACTGTCTTTTCCAACAATTATGCCTTCATTAGATTTAATGTTTTTTTTTGGATTAACTCTATTTGAAAACGATTTTATCTGACTTATATTTTGACAATTGATAAACAAAGACATATGTTTCCAAGAAATGTTCCTGTTGCCAAGTTTAACTGAATTAACCTCAATTGGTTGTAGTTGTGCAAATTATGATTTTCAACTTCAAAAAGTGCAAAATTGTGATTTATTTAAATTCATAATGTTCTTGAGTAATGGCGCCAACAAACTCGTTGTATGTGACCATGCCAATCTTTCTACAGACATAAAATAACAATTTAGTTTTGCTTCATAGCTGCATTTAAAGCTAGATTGCCAAATCGATTTTTTCGGAATAGCACTCTGGCATCTGTGTTATCCTCTCGATTTGTATTCTCAACTATATATCTATGACAATGCAAATATGTTAAGGTTATGTTTCTGTAAATGTTTTAAAAGTGTTCTTGTTTGAGTATTTTGTTTTGTTAGTTTTCGTTTTAATTTTTAGTTCTTTTAGATTTATGAATTGCGTAGTAAGTAACAATTTTATGAATATAGAACTGAAAATGATTCAAATTAATATACTCAGTAAGTGGAAAGCAAGTATCATTCAATAGCATCCTTATCTCTTGTCTTTGAAAACAACTAAGCAATAGGGAAAATGTTTTAATTACTCATAATTACGTGTTGATTTCGTTTTGAAGAAAGTTGTCTACTTTTTTTCACCATTCTATTGATGCCCTGCACTTCGCCACAGTTGTATTGTGTAATTTACTTAAGTACCACACGTTGTCTAGGTACAAAAAAATATATATTGAATAGGTACATGGCCCTTGCTCAAATATGAAAAAAATCCAAATATACAAAAGCTTGCAGTGCGCAAAAGCTTCGTTTTCAAAATACGAGGCGTCAATCTTTACTTTAAAAAATACAAAATTATAAATTTCTGCAAAACAGTTTGATAAATGTTAATGAAACATTATGGGCAGTGAAAGCTGTAAAAGGTGCTTATTTTAAATGATTTAATTGCTTATAGTTTGTAATTTGTATGTAATTGTATATTTTTAAAGGAAAAAATAGTACATCACTGTTTTTTTGAACAATAAAATCTTATTTGGTTGTTCAATTCTGAAGAAAAAAGCGCTCTTTAATTTCTGTCGTACGACCAACTGTTTTCCGGTAAAAAAACATTTTTATTTTGATGATAAAAGTTAACATTTTTTCACTAATGTTTGTTCAAACAAAAATTAAGAATTAAGATTTTTACCCAGGTTTAATCAAGTTCAAAATTATAAATAATATTTTTCATATAAACAAATTGCAGTAATAGAATTCTATTTTAACAGGAAATATTTAGCGGATTTTGTTAGAAGTTAGCGGCTCAAACTTCACAAATTTTATTAATCAAACCTTGTTTATTTGGAAACAGTTACGGTCGAATGCGACGTTCCACTTCGTCCCAAAGATTTTCAATAGTTACACAAACGATCCTGAAATATCCGTTGCTACGCCGAGTAAACCGCCCCTGATTGCTAAACCTCAGGAGGAATTTTTTCCTACCCTGCCTAAAGCCCTAAACTCAAGTCGTTTACATTATATGTATATGATTTTTATAGCATTTAAGTGAGGAAGCCAACAGGCTCATTGAAAATGTTTTGCCGGCCACGATCTTAACCGGCGATACCTCTTTTATTATACTCAAAACTTCTGTATAATCGTATTTAAATTTTCCTTAGGTCGAAAGCTTTGTATTGAGCTTAAAAAACACATATTTGTACTATTTTTTCGAAAAAACTCAAATCTCAAAAAATCATATAGGTACTATTTTCATCGCAAGGAGGCGAGAAATCCAATTGAAGAACACGCTAGACCATTTATAGACCCACATAAATAATATTAAATATAAATTGTTGACAAAGTAGTTTAATAAAGAAACAAATTGTTTAAGAAAAAACAAACAAAATTGATGCACACTTGTTTTCCACGAAGATTCATTTCGCTTAGCGGAATCCCCACTTAACTTAACTCAGTAAATTCTAACATAAATTAAATATTACTGCTGTAAACTGAAACTCAGTTGTTAGCAACTGGAAGACGATTATTTTTTGCAAATTTCAGGATCCGTTTTATTTAGAAATGGACCAACTCATTGAAGAGCAAATTCAAAAGGTGTGTACTTCACTTTTTTGTCAACTTTGCGATGTAAAGATAACAAGTCTGAGCGTAGAGCGTTCTCATTATTCATGTAAGCGCCATTTAGAGGAAGTTGCCTTATATAGATCAGAATTATTAAGGGAATGGTCGACGAAAAAAGCGCAAATAAGTCTCTATTCAGTGAAGGCCACAAATGCAGGAATAACTGCTTCAAAGAAGAGTTTGCAAGCCGTTGGAAGCGATCAGTATGAAATTCCGAAAAGGATAAACAGGTAAGTTGGTCCTAGTTTAATAAGTGTGTATAAAATGAACAAAAAATGTGTAATTTGCATATAGTAGACAGTTAAGAATACGTTTGTATTTCTTTAGTCCTGGTCCATCGGTAGCTAACCAATGTTCTGTATGCAACACATCATTTAGTGCAGAACACGACTTTAAGGAACATATGCAAATGTATCCTCATCAACAGTTAGCTAAACTAAAGTCAGACCTAGTAAAGAAAGGTACGCATAGTATATAATATTTTTGTTATTTGTTTCTGGAGTTATTTTTTATTATTAAAGTGCCATTGCATCGTAGGAATTTTAAATGAATACTGGACTGTTGATGCAAACGGCTATGTCATATGCTGTATTTGTAATGCTCAACTCCAAACAAGTAATTCTATGCAATTGCATATGAATACTAATCGCCACAATCAAATGTTTCAGTTTTGGTGTAGTTTGTTTACCGCAGACAAGGTAATATTTTTTTCTGTACTAAGGAAACAAAAAAATCGTGTTAACCTTTTAATTACATACCATTTAATTTACCAATACAAACCATTTAATTTATTTGAAAATTCCTTCGTAGACTGACGAGCAGTTTTATTGTAAAACATGTAACACAAAGTTACATGGAGCGAGTGAAGCTAAAAAACATTATTCGACTGACGTCCATATAAGGTATTGTTTTTCCTAATTCTAAGCAAACTATTAAGCTGTGCAAAAGTGTTAACATACAATAAACGAAAGGGACAACAGTTTTCTGTTTAAATGGCGAGATAAATAAATTTAAAAAAATTTAAAATGTACATGTTAGAATGTAGTAATCGATCGTTATTTTACAGACACGCTCAAAATATATCTGCGACGTCTTCCATTCAACAAAAGCATGAGGTTAAAGGTAAGAAAACTTAACGGATCTCAATTTTGAAAGCTTGATCTTGCTCAGTTATTTTCAAAATAATTAATTTACGACTTTTTTTCAGTATCTTCGGCAAACCATGATCCACCTACACCCACTTTACCGCCTGAACGAACGGATAAACACCATGAAGATAACAGCATGACAAACCCTAAAAAACCCAGCTTTTGTTCACCTGAATTGGGTGCCAATCAAGTCAAAGATACTGCCACAAACAATTCAATAGTATGCAATACCAAATCACCTGACACCAAGACTGAGGAGTGTAGAGAACCTCTATCTCTATCTAAACTAAAACAGGAAGTTTTTAATGAACTGGATCGTCTCGTTCAGAAACTTTACTATTCAAATACAGTGCCTTACATAGTGTCTTTAGAATACCTAAAGCGAATTAACAGAGAAGTAGATGAGTTGGCGAAAAAGAATGATGATAAGAGACATAAAGCTTCGAAAGAAAGAGTTGTGATAAAACCAGAACCCAAAACTGATTATCAAGAGATTTACAGTTGTGATTTTATTAAAGAAGAAACCAATAATAATATTGATGAGATGTTGGGAAAAGATCAATATATTGACACTGTGAATGTGAACTCATTGCGGAAAATGTTAATGAACCCAAAAGTTCGGGATATTTCCCCTAAAAAAACCTCGCTATCAATGGGTTCCGAATGGGACGAATTGGATTTGCCAAATAATGAGGTCTATGCGGACGATTCGGGAAAATTAATTTTGCCTAAAATTTGTCCCATTTTAACTAACAATGCAAATCAAACAAATTTCGAAGCGTCAACAAGCAAACCCGAAACTTTTCTTATAGTGAAACGTTCATCTGTAAACGATGTGTTACCAAAGATAGTTCAGAAGAAGGCCGCAAGCATATCGGAGCTGCTCGATAAAATACAGCAAAAAAAGCATGATATGTTAACGGATAAATCGGAAGAAGGGCGTCTGGAAAGGGAGCTTTTGAGTGAAATAGAATTTCTCATGCTGCAGATCGAAAATAGCAACATACCACTGGAGGAAACCTTGAAATGCTTAGAAAAGTTTAACAAGGAATTGGACAAGCAAGTTTCTAGCGAACAATTAAACGGGAAATCAGATGGTCGCTTACCAGATGATGAGAAAAGTGACACAGAACTAGCTTCAAAAGGGAAAGTAGGAAATGAGCACACAAATGCCCCTGATATGAAAATAGCTCAAAATAGTGAAGGAACGTCACAAGCGAAAATCAACCAAGGAGGACATGAAGTCTTTTATGCCGATGAATCAGGTTAGTTTACTCCTAGTAATGCCTTTTTTCGATGGACGTTTTATTAAGTTTCTAAACATACATACGGCTTATAAAAAATTCCAAAAATCCGCGGTTACCAAAAAGTATGTGTGTATATCTGGGAAACTATTAACCGCAGAGTTCAGAGGTGTTCTGTGCCGCAGACTCGATGAATATTAATTATCAAAATTATCCTAATTTCTAAGAGAATCAACTGCGACTTAAACACTTTTTGGCGATTTCCTTGCTTTAATGCAACTACTTAGGCTTCAGTGCAAACTACTTCACTTCTAAGTTTGACGACATTGCACGCAAAGAATTGAAATATTGCTAATTTGATTGAAAAGAGCTATGCTTTCGCCGCTATTCCTTGAAACTGGTGATTTTTTCGGACTTCTAGACCGTTGTGGAATAAATTTCGTCCCTATGTTTCGCAGGAATGAATGGTGAGCATCTTCAGAGGTGGTTTGCTCTGCTGTAGGCTTTTGAGTACATCGACTGGCTAAAATCGATCAGCTGTTTATAAACAGTTTTGTTAAAAGTTTTTAGTTTTGAAAAAACTAACTAGTTTGATGAAATCGCGCCTCGTAAACTGTTTGTGTTTCAATAGCAGTGAACAAAAGTCTGACTAAAACATATTTTTGAGTGAATTCAACCTACTTCTCCCCAAAACCAATTCTCTCCCAACTCCCTCAGTGGCATTCAATTATAACACCATATTCTATGGTGGTATAATA